TACAACACGCCCTTCTTCGCCAGCGTCTACAACGTCTCCGGCTACTGGCAGAAGGTGGAGGAGTATGGCGACTTCTTCTCGTACACAATGTATGCGCGCGCCCGCATCTTCGAGCGCAACCACAGCGGCGTCGTCGACCTGGCGAGCATGCAGCGGCTCATGCGGTACAACAACTTCCGCGCGGACCCGCTCTCCCGCATCCCGAACTGCACCGGCGCCGGTGTGAACAACACGTGCGACCCCGCGTTCAGCGCGATGCTCAGCATCGCCGCGCGTGGGGACCTCAACCCGCCAGGCAACGCGACGCAGTACGGCCCGCTGTTCCGCTACGTTGGCCGCCGCGACCACGGCGCGACGGACGCGAAGATCGCTACGTGGAGCGGCATGACGCGCAGCAGCGACAGTTACACCGCCTACGTTATCAACGGCCCCACGAACGACCAGCAGCCCACCTTCGAGTGGACGGAGGGAATCTTCGACCCCATGCCGCCCATCGACGGCCTGCCGAAGGTGTTCAACTTCAGCTTCGTCACGTACACAACGGTGGGGCCAGGCACGCCGTCCAACAACGACCGCAACAAGTGGATTGGCGTCGGCGTTGGCGCCGGCGCCGCGGTGCTCGTTTTCATTGCAGTCGCCATCTTGCTTGTCCGCTCACGCCGCGAGGGAAAACCGCTGAGCGAGGAGGAGAAGGCCTTGATTCAGTGACGTGGTATATATATATATATATATATACAGACATATGCGTGTGTGTAGGTGTGGGTGTGGGGCGCTCCTACACACCTCATTCTGCTTTTATTTTATGGGTGTGTTTGTCTCTGCTCTCTCTCTCTCTCTCTCACTCACTCTCTCTCATTCTCTCGTTCACTCTCACCTCTGGCCCCATCGCTGTGGGCTCCAGACGCTTCGTTTGTCGCCATATTGCAGCAGCTGGTGGTGGTTGTGCCGCTGCTGTAAAACGTCGGCCATGGCGCTGAAGCGTCGGAGCGTGTCTGTGTGTGTGTGTGTGGGAGAGGAGGGGGAAAGGGAAGGGAGGAGGGGAACAAAAAGGAGTGACAGTGATACGATGCGAACGAACGTGAAGTGATGCATGCGTGCAGGAAGACAATCGAAAGATATATATATATATATATGGGGTAGTAGTAGTTGCCAGTGGGGGAGGGGAAAAAAGTAAACAAACAGGGGGGGGGGGCAAAAAAGACAAAACAGAGAGCCACACGGTGGTCACTCGCCTGTCTCTCTGTGTGTGTGTGTGTGTGTGATGTCTTTTCATTTCTTGCATTAGTTGTTTGCTTTGCCTTTCCGCCGTCGCGCTGCGTGTCGTCCGCAACGGTGCATCCGCCTCCCTCGTTGGTGCTGTTGCTGGTACTGTTATTACTATCATTACTTTTTATGCCCCCTGCTTGCGGCCGCGGCGGCGTTTGCCCGCGGCACTCTGTTTGTGTGCTGCGGCGTTGTGTCGCTGAATGTGTGGGCGTGTGACTGCGTCTCATCTTCTTTTGTTCTCTCCCACACGCGACGAAAACAACGCGGCTGTGCCTCCTTGCAGTTGTGTGCCGCAGCAGCGAAAGCAAAAGAGGCAAGTGAAGGCGGACTGTGCGCTACGAGCGTCAATAATAAACAGAAGAGAAATCACGAAAGCCAGAGAGGTGAAAATGTTCTTTAGCCTCGATGGGCTGCTGGTGCGCGGCGAGGAGACGCCACTGCTGAGCGTCGCGGAGGGGCAGCAGCTCGTCGCGCTCTACCGCCTCCTCCACCGCCTGCACCGCTCCGGGCAGCCGCACGACAACAGCAGCCACAACGCCCCACCGCAGCTGCAGCAGCCAACACCTGCGGTGCCGTTCCCCATGTTTCTGCAGCCGGAAGGTGAGGCCGCCGCGGTGGCAGCGGCACCCGGCTGCACCGATGATGGCAGCGGCGAGGTAAGCAACAGCGGTGGCAGCAGAAGCAGCAGCAGTAGCAGCGGCACCAGCAACACGAACAGAGCGGCGAATCGTATGGAGGAGGCGCACGTACGAGCACTGGCGCCCGGCGACGCCGTCAACGCCCCACGAAGCTGCAGTGGTGCGGAGTGGTCAGGGCCAGGAACAAAAACAACGATGCAGGTGTGCACCTCGCAGCGGGAGCTGTTCTGTGTGCAGCGGGTGGTGCCATCGACGTCGGATGCCCTGTTCCTGTGTGGCGCGGCGACGCCCGCCCCGTGATGCGCGGCGCCCCCACCCGCATGCGTGTTGTGGATAGCCGAGGAGGAGACAAGGGAAGGCAGAGGGACTGCACTGCTGTCTCATGGAGTGTGTGAATGTATGTGGGAGTGCGGGGATCGATCCACACGTGTGTGTTTGTGCGGGGGGGGAGGTCAGCCCACCAGAGTCTTTTTTTTCCCCTCCTTTTGTTGTTGTTGCCTCTCTCTTTCTCTCTTTCTCTGCACCGTGGAGGAGGAAACTCACTCAGGAAAGGAAGTAAAGAAGCAGGAAAGGCGGAGGGGGGACGTACGACGCATTGAGCCACTTGCCGCTGCGTCACACATCTGTCGCCACCACTACCACTGAGTCATTCATCGGCTAGCAAAGTTTTTTTTTGTTTGTTTGTTTGGACAGGAGTAGAGAAGGCGTAGGACAATAGGCGGGGACCGATCTGCAGGCACCCCAGGAGCAACAAGCGAAGGAAGAGAAGGAAAGCGACAAGGAAGAAGAAGAAAAAAAGGATAATATATATAA